GGAGGCAGGGGCAGGTGGATCTCTGTGAGTTCATGGCCAGCCTGGTCTACATAGTGAGCTCCAGACCAGCTGGAGCTACAGCGAGACCCTGTCTCAAAAAAAAAAAAGAAAGAAAAGGAAAGAAACAAACAAATATATATATATGTATATATATATGAATGTATATAATGCTCAGTTCTTTAATCGTTTAGTATTGACCACTTTAAGATACTTTGAGACAAAATTCCACTGACTTCTAAAGATCATAAGATCTTAAGTCATAATGTACCTTCACTATTTCGATTAGCCTTGTATATGCTAAATAGTGTGTTCTTTGCATTTTTCAACAGGGTTGTGTGTGGGGTGTTGCTTACAAACTACCAGTAGGCAAAGAGGAGGAAGTAAAAACATACCTTGACTTCAGAGAGAAAGGAGGTTACATAACTACAACAGTCATCTTTTACCCAAAAGACCCTACAACAAAGCCCTTCACTGTGTTGCTATATATCGGAACACGCGATAACCCTAACTATCTTGGTCCTGCGCCTCTGGAAGACATTGCTGAACAAATCTTTAATGCAGCTGGTCCAAGTGGAAGAAATACAGAATACCTTTTTGAACTTGCAGATTCTATTAGAAAACTTGTGCCAGAAGATGTAGATGAACATCTTTTCTCTTTGGAAAAATTAGTAAAGGAACGTTTAAAAGAAAATTAGAACCTCAGGACCATGTAATGTCACTGACTTTTCCAAATAAGCAGAGCTTTTTAGTCTTCAGAGAGTAACTTCAGTACACAGTAGCAGTATGTTCTGGACATATGTTTACTTGAAGATCTTCACTATTTTAGACAATATAGTCAGGATATCATCTAAATTCATAGTTTATTTGCAAGTGACCTGAAACATATATTCAAAAGATTTACATACGGAGAAAAAAAATTCAAGTTATAATGATTTCCTAACTATATGATAACTGAACAGCTACACATTAGAAATATACAATTCATTTCTTTTTATCAGAGTAACCATGGTTTAAAGTATATAAGCATGAGATAATGTTATTAGGAATAGACAATATAAGATTTCAGCATTGATTATTAATGTCCTTGTTATTCATGTATTAAATGAAACTTTCAAATTTAGGCCAAAGGGAATTGGATTTTTTTTTTTTGGTCTTTTTGAGACAGAGTCTCTCTGTAGTCCCAGCTGGCCTGAAACTTGCTTTGTAGACCAGGCTGGCCTTGAACTCACAGAGATCCAGGTGCCTCTGCCTCCCAAGTGCTGGGATTAAAGTCACGTACCACCACGCCCAGCAGGAATTGGATTTTTTAAATATAAAAATTTCCTTGGAGCCGGGCATGGTGGCAGAGGCAGGCAGATGTCTGGCCAGCCTGGTCTACATAGTAAGTTTCAGGACAGCTGGGGCTACAGGGAGACCCTGTCTCAAAAAGACAAAAAAAAAAAAAATTTCCTTGGAATTAAAATGTGCTTTTTCTTTGGAGGGAAAAAAAACACTTAACTACACAGAAAAACTCTAGTACAAATTACATTATATAAATCACATCTGCTAATGATGTCATTCACTTTGTATTTATCTTATAATGAAATCGAAAAAAAAATTTCACTTTCTGAAGAGATTATTGGAAACATAATGAAAATTGTTTGAAATGGCTTTTGCAATTATGATTACTTAAGTATCATTTCCTGATTGTTTGCTATACTTTTTTTTTTTACAGCTGGTCACCTAAATAAGAATGTCAACTATTGCCGGGCGTGGTAGTGCATGCCTTTAATCCCAGCACTTGGGAGGCAGAGGCAGGTGGATCTCTGTGAGTTCAAGGTCAGCCTGGTATACATAGTGAGTTCCAGGACAGCTGGGGCTACAGGAAGACCCTGTCTCAAAAAGACCAAAAAAAAATCAACTATTTATGGGGCTATTTAAGCAGGAAACTAATTCTTAAATTATTAACTTACATAAAATTAGCCTCAATATAAGCTAATTAGATGATTCCTGATTATAGGTGATTTCTTTAATATAAAGTCTATCTGGAATCAACATAAGAAGAATTTCAACTGGGCATGGTGGTGAGCACCTTTTATCTCAGCCCTTGGGAGGCAGAAGCAGGTGGGTATCTGTGAGTTCAAGGCCAGCCTGGTCTACATAAGTGAGTTCAAGGCCAGCCTGGTCTACATAAGTGAGTTCCAGGACAGCTGGGGCTACAGGGACACCCTGTCTCAAAAAGACCAAAAATTAATTAATTCATTTAATTAAAATAATTTCAGTGGCTGGAGAGATGGCTCAGCAGTTAAGATGCTCTTGCAGAAAACCCAGAGTCAAATTCTAGCACCCACATGGTAGCAAACAACCATCCATAACTCCAGTTCCAGGGAATCCGACACCCTCTTCTGATCTCTGCAGGCACTGTATAATACAGGTACACTTACTTACATACATGCAGACAATATACGCATACACAGAAAATAAAAATAAATTTTTCTTTAAAAAAGAATTTCAATATTATGTTAAGTCTAATATGACACTTTTCAGATCCAGTGTGGTGGCTCACACTTATAATCCCAGCATTTGGAAGGTTAAGACAGGAAGACTGCCATGAGTTCAAGGCTAGCCTAGGGTACAGAGTGAGACCCTGTCTCAAAAAAAAAAAAACAAGCCAGGCTCACGCCTATAATCCCAAAACTTAGGAGGCTGACGTGGGAGGATCCTAGGCTACAGAGTAAGATCTTGTCTCAAAAAAAAAGAAAATTTTTCAAGCCTATAAAGCACTAATACAGAAATGTTTCACATAAAACTGTCTCTGTAGTAGGACAGTTGTCCTTTTCCTGCTAGTGCCTTAGTGATTTACTCAATTATATAACTATTTTAAATATTTTCCAACATTTTAAATATTTAGTTTTCCAGATGGCATTTCATAGATCTTGCACTACAGAAAGGGTACTAACATTTTTAGTATCTAATAAGGATGTTCTAAGTCCTTTACATAGGGAGGCATAGTCTTAGTTTTTTGGTCTTGAGACGGTCTCCCTGTAGATCCAGCTAATCTGGAACTTACAATGTAGACCAGGCTGGCCTTGAACTCACAGAGATCCACCTGCCTCTGTCTCCCAAGTTCTGGGACTAAAGGCATGCGCCACCACACCCGGCTAATATTCTTAGTTTTTTGATAACTGCTCTAAGCTTGTTTCCATAGTAATTTGCAATTATACATTTAATAAATTTAGAAATCTAGATCACTGTAAAGCACAAAATTCTTCTGTAGTATATTTAAAAGTCCACCTGAGCCTGACCATTTTCACTACCCTGCATCTTTTCTCCAGGAGATAAACAGACTAATATTTTTTATTTAATGATAGTATGTAACATGTTACAAAACACTAGGAAGAATTAACTTTGGGATCCCCGTTTATGTCTTTCTAGGTTTTCAGTCAGAAGTTAAGCTAGAAAGTGTATTAATACATATGATACATCATCAACATTTACAGGAGGGAATACTCATTGTCATCAGGATGGGGGAGACCTGACTGATAAAGAAATGAAACAGTACTGAGTAACAGAGAAGCTGGGTTTGGAGCCTCCAACCCGGAAGAACCAGCACTCTGGGCACAGCCACCTTGACTAGTCCTCAGATCTCAATTTCAAAACATTTGGTTTCATTCTGCCCTTACTGCACATACAAACTCAGGCTTTCGCCTCAGGGCAGAAACAGTAACTAGATTGTTAAGCTTTAAGAACTCAAGACTACAAGCTTAAACCCTACATTTGGAGAAAAAACTTTGGAGGGAGGGGGTAAAGGTGGGTGGGTTGGTTTTGGTTTTGAGGCAGGGTCTTGCTGTTTAGCTGGATTGGCCTAAAACTCAATTTCTTGCCTCAGCCTCTGGACTGCTGGGATTGCAGACATGAGCTACCATGCCTGATCTAGAATCATTTTATTATTATCTTGTCAGGGGAGGGTTGTGGGGGGGAGCACATGCATGCCACAGCATGCATGCATGCATGCATATAGAAGCCAGAGGACAACTCTGTGGAGTGCCATTCTCTTCTACCTTTGCATGGATTTTGGTTGTCAGGTTTTCACAGCTGGTGCTTTACCTGCTAAGCCACCTCCTTGGCCCCAGAGGAATTGTTTAAATTTGATCTTTCTAATCCTACTCTGGCCACTATTCTTGGTGTTTTCACAGTCTCAAACAATATGTTCACTCTTCATTCAACCGAGAACTATTAATAAATACCATCTAGATTTCCATTTCTAAAGTTAGAGAAACAGGTTGTGGTGATTTCAGCGCTATTTGAAAATACCAGTGTGACCTATCCTGTGAATACTAATTTTGAAAGCTTGACTACTATGAATACATTTCATCTTAAATAAGAAAAAGCTTAATTTCCAAATAAGCTGATGTGTACATTTTATATATATACATATATATATATCTTCAGTGTCTACTGAATTTTAATATATATTTATTACACAGTCCCTGATAGAATGCTTAGTAAATAATATCTAATAGTACTTTATGTTAAGGTTCAGATAGCCCTGCCCCCTCACCAACAGGCTCCCTAGGACTTCTCATGCACCTGAGGAAAAGGAACCTAGCTGATAAGCACCATGGTCATTGAAGTCAAGGGAAGCAGACTTTTCTCCACTGTTTGGCCAACACAGCAGGCTTCCCCTTTGATCTCTAAAGAGGACAGGTTTTAACAGTCCCGCTCTCCCACTCCCCGCCACCCAACTTTTAAAAAAATACATCTTTCCGCCTTCTGCAGGAAGCAGAAGCCTCCCTTTTTAAAAGACCCCAGCTCAAGAACCAGGCAGACATTTTCCCTGCCCGGAAGGGAATCTGTCCCATGTGTTCATTTGCTAATAAACCCTATTTTGATGGAGTTTTATCTGTGTCCTGGTGCCTCTTCCTCCATTCGCTCGTTCTCCACCAACTTTTTACCTATCACTTTACACCATATATTCGGAGTATCATGGGTTCAATATTAAAGATTCATTATGATTATATACATAATCATAATTATGTTTGAGAACAATATTTGATCTAAGAGATTGTTTTAAACATTTTCCAATCTAACTTTATTCCCCCCACCCCTTTGGTCTTTTTGAGACAGGGTCTCCTTGTAGCCCAGCTGTCCTGGAACTCACTATGTAGACCAGGCTGGCCTTGAACTCAGAGATCTGCCTGCCTTTGCCTCCTGAGTGTTGGGCTTAAAGGCGTGCGCCACCATGCCCGGCTTGCCTTTTTTTTTTTTTTTTTTTTTTCCAGTCTACATTTCTTTCCATTTCTTTGTGACTAGCTTTCTCTTTTCAAAAGCGTTAACTTTTTTAAATTGTACATTAGGAGCATACTCTCTCAGTGAGTATGTGCACATCCCTACACCCTCAGCAGCTCTATCAGTGGAAACATACTATCCTTGATTCTTCCAAGTCAACTAAGATGAACATATTTCCAAATTCTCTTTTCACCACATCATGATAAAACATGCCTGTAATCCCAGCAATTGAGAGGCTTATACTAGAGGACTATGGGTTGAAGGCCAACCTGGGCAACACAGTGAGACCCTGTCTCTCATACACATAAGGAAGAATTTCTTTAAATGTATTCTATTAATCAAATGTTCATATTACGCCCATCTTTCCCACGAAATTACTACATTTTCTACTAATGTGTTCAGCTTTTAGCAGTCCATTTTGTGCATTCCTAAAACCACAAACTCACATGCATACAAAAGGTTTGATCGTTACCATGATTTTTTTTAATTTTTTATTTTTTATGTGTATGAATGTATTGCCTGCATGTGTGTAAATGCACCCGTGTCATACAATGCCCAAGGAGGTCAGAAGAAGGTGTCAGATCCCCTGGAATTGAAGTTAACAGATGGTTGTTAGCTACCATGTAGGAGCTGGAAATCAAACCCGGGTCCTCTGCAAGAGCAGTCAGGGCTCTTAACTGCTAAACCTTCTCTCTAGCCCCTTACCATGATTTTTTAATCCTGTGGCTAGTATGCCAAAGAACTTTAACTCTTCCAAAGATAACTACTAAAATTATTCTTCTGTAATTCTTTAAAAAATATTCTTCTGGCCAGGTGGCACACGCCTTTAATCCCAGCATTTGGGAGGCAGAGGCAGGTGGATCTTTGTGAGTTCAAGGCCAGCCTGGTCTACATAGTGAGTTCCAGGACAGCTGGGGTTACAGGGAGAACCAATCTCAAAAAGACAAAAAAAAAAAAAACAAAAAAAATTCTGTAGGAGCTATTAGGATGACTCAGAGGTTAAGAGCTCTGGCTGCTCTTCCAGGGCACCTAAGTTCAGTTCCCAGGATCCACAGGGCAGCTAACACCCATCCTTAATTCTAGTTCCAGAGGGTCCAATGACCTCTTCTGGCCTCAGCAGGCACCAGGCATACAAGTGGTGCATTTAAATTCATGCAGGCAAAAGACTTATAAAATTAAAATGCCAGGTATGATGGCACATGCCTTTAGTCCCAGCACTTAGGAAGCAGAGGCAGGTGGTTATCTATGAGTTCAAGGCCAGCCTGGTCTACAAATTGAGTTCCAGGCCAGCTAGGGCTATAGGGAGACCCTGTCTCAAAAAAAGACAAAAAAAAATTTTTTTTTAATTAAAATCTTTTATAAAAGCCAGGTGTGGTGGCACACACTTTTAGCGCACTCTGAAGGCAGAAACAGGCAGATCTCCATGAGATTGAGGTCAGCCTGGTCTACACAGTCAGTTCCAGGCCAGCTGTGGCTACAGGGAGACACGCCCCCCCCTTCTTATACGTCACAGAAATTTTTTAACTACACAGTGTTCCACTTCCTTATCAACTCTTCTTAATGAATTTTCCTAATCAACTTTACCAGTATGCTCCAATCAGTGAAGTCTCAAATCTCCAATAGCCACTTCCTGACTCAGCTCAGATTTGTTTTCTCAGTTTTTTACTATACTGAAGCATCAGATACTAGTGACCATGTACAGACAGCTGAGATGGCTCCAGCACCTTGGGCTCCTAGAGAAGTAAACTGAAGCCCAACACATGGTTATAAAAACCAATCTTGGGGGCTGGAGAGATGGCTCAGCAGTTAAGAACACTGGTTCTTGCAGAAGATCAGGGTTTGAATCCCAGCACCCACATGGCAGCTAACAACTGTCCATAACTCCAGTCCCAGGGGATCCGACAGCCTCTTCTGACCTCTGCGGGCATTGCATGACATAGGTGCACTTAACTACATGCAGGCAATACACTCATACACCTAAAATAAAAAAAAATAAAAAAATAAAAAGTCCAGGCCTGGGCCTAGGTCATGGCGACATGGCTAAATGCACCAAAAAGGTTGGGATCATGGGTAAATATGGGACCCACTATGGAGCCTCCCTCTGAAAAATGGTGAAGAAGATTGAAATCAGCCAGCACACCAAGTATACTTGCTCCTTCTGTGGCAAGACCAAGATGAAGAGGCGGGCTGTTGGCATCTGGCACTGTGGTTCCTGCACGAAAACAGTGGCTAGTGGAGCCTGGACCTACAATACCACCTCTGCTGTCATGGTCAAGTCTGCCATCAGAAGACTGAAGGAACCGAAAGACCAGTAGAAGCACTGCTGTTTGGGACATCCCTGGCCCACAATAAATGGGTTAATTTATGTGACTGTAAAAAAAAAATCTTGGTGGCATTTGCCTTTAGCCCCAGCACTCGGGAGGTAGAGGCAGATGGATCTCTGGGAGTTCAAAGCCAACACGGTCTACACAGTTAGTTCCAGGCCAGCTGGGGCTACAGGGAGACCCTGTCTCAAAAAAAAAAAAAAAATCTTTCTGAATTTTATGTTTTATTATAAAATAACAAATTGCAGTAGTATATATTACAGGCTACACAGTAATGTTGTTTATGAATAAATGGATTAAATCAATAAATTATCATGCCTTTAATCCTAGCAGAGGCAGACAGATCTCTGTGAGTTCAAGGCCAGCCTGGTCTACACAGTGAGTTCCAGGCTAGCCAGGGCAACACAGAGAGACTCTGTCTCAAAAAAAACCTAACATTTATCAACTCATCTTATGTTATAAGAAACCTGAAATTTACTCTCAGCCAAGCTGCTCATGGAAAAATACCCAGGCATCATCAATTCATCCCTGTAAAATCAAATCAATCTAACCCACTAGTAAATTCAAATGTTCTACCTGAAAAATTTATTCCCACTCAAACCTCTCCTCCATTGCTATGCTATCTGCAAGCATGAATCTACTACTTCCTTCCTCATACAGTATTCTCCCTATGTGTCTAAGTCCAAATTCCTCTCTTATAAAGATACTAGTCTTAGCCAGGCATGGTGGTGCATACCTGTAGTCCCAGCACTTGGGAGGAAGAGGCAGGCGGATCTCTGTGAGTTCAAGGCCAACCTGGCCTACATAGTGAGTTCCAGGCCAGCTGGGGCTACAAAGAAACCCTGTTTCAAAAGACAAAAAAAAAAAAAATACCAGTCTTTAGGTTAAGACACTCCCTAATTCAGTTTGACATTATCTTGATTAAATCTGTAAACATTCTATTTCCAAACAGTTTACACTAAGGTTTTGATGGTTAGAATGTCTACATATTTTGGGGGGTTACACATTCAACCCACACCATCCCCTACAATCACTTTTCCACACAGGAGCCACAATGACCTTCACAGTGCATCAGGTCCTATCACTCTCCTGCCAAGTAGGGTAATGACTTTTATAATATTGGACACACTCTGGACAGATGACTTTTACTTAACCTTGCAGCCAAAACGTTAACCTTATCCTAAGCTTGTTTATAATGTTAACATATAAACAAGCTCACTGAGTCATGTGCTCCTCCAGTCATATGGTCTTAATCCCTACTCATGACCCTTCCTAGTCATCAACTTAAAATAATGTATGCAAGTATGTGTTTGTATAGCTGTCAAGCAATGCAAACAGCCTTTATCTCATTGCAAACAATGAGAGAGCTTGATTTAACATCTGTTTATGATTCTGTTTGTGTGTGTGTGTGTGTGTGTGTGTGTGTGTGTGTGTGTGTCTAGGTCTAGGGATCAGAAAGGACATAATCCTCAGATAAAGGTCTGACTTTTATTGACACTTTCAATAAAACAACGAGCAGGCCCTTGTTCTAAAACATAGTTCTGGGGCTGGAAAGATGGTTCAGCAGTTAAGAACACTGATTGTTCTTACAGAAGACCAGGGTTTGAATCCCAGCACCCACACGGCAACTAACAACTGTCCGTAACTCCAGTTCCAGGAGATCCAACAGCCTCTTCTGTCTTCCTAGAGCATAGCACGACACGTGTGCACTTATCTACATGCAGGCAATACACACATACACATAAAATAAAAAAAATATTTAAAGCATAGTTCTGAGAGAAATCTGAAGAAACAGGTTCTCAGCAGTTTGGGTTCACCCTTGACTGAAATGGATGCTAGGTCAGGCTGTTTTTTATTAAGGAACTGTATATAAAATTATAATTATATACAATTATAAATAATGTATATAATATAATGTATTTAATTTAACTATATAAAGGCTACAGTAAAAGCCATAGCCTACAGGGCTGCATACAGGTGACCTCTTCCTGACACCTTCTTATGCTCCAGATATACTGGTCTCTGTCCCACCAACATGCTGACTTCATCCCTGCCTCAGGCTTCTGCCTAGAAATTTCTCTGGTCACTCAAGTGAAATCTCAAGCATCACTTCATGGACATCAACCTTGACCACCTACCAAAAGCAATACATCCCAGATGTATTCCCTTTTGTATAAATCTAGCTTTATCTACGGCATTTACCCATTTAGAAGTCTTTTGTTTGTTTGTTTTCTTTTTAGTCTTTTTGAGACAGGGTCTCCCTGTAGCCCCAGCTGGCCTAGAACTCACTATGTAGACCAGGCTGGCCTCGAACTCACAGAGATCCACCTGCCTCTGCCTCCTGAGTGCTGGGATTAAAGGTGTCCACCACCATGCCCAGCTTTAGAAATTATACCTCTTCCTTACTTAAACCTAAGGTCCACCAAGAATAGATTCCTTTAATCCCAAGGCTAAGGCACAAATTCTATCATTTTCTATCTTAAAACACCAATTATTCCCCTAAGTTTTCTTTTTTTTTTTTTGTCCATTCAACTATTTAATACATTTGGAATTCATGTTTGTATACTTTGTATACTTTAACAAATGCATCCACTCAGATGATTCTAATGCAAAAAAAGTACGGCCTCAAAAATTTCTCACCTGCCCGCACTTGAGAGGCTAAGAGAGGGAAGTCACAAGCTCAAAGTCAGTGAGCTGCATATAGAGTTCTAGACCACTTTGGGTCACCAGACCCTGACTCAAAAACAAGTACTAATCTAGAAAACAAAACTCACAGATCTTCCATACACATGCCATCTTCTCTAAACCAACCATTCCTCCATAGCACCAATACCCTGCGGCTGAGTCCATCCTACCCTGCCCTCTGACTACACCAAAAAGTGCTAGTGGACCAAGGATTATGCTTCAAACACTTTGCCAACTGCCAAATGAAATCCTCTAAATCCTAAAAATTCCAGTTTTAGTGTCACCTCTTCTGGAAAGCCCTTTCTGACCAACTCCAGAGTTTTTCACTGCTTTCTATCTCCACCTTTAAGTCCGTTTCCTATACAATCTACAGTACCTGACTCATTAAGAATCATGACAATGTGTGCTTGCTTCAGCAGCACATATACTGAAATTGGAACAATACAGAGAAGATTAGCATAGCCCCTGCGCAAGGATGACACGTAATTCATGAAGTGTTCCATATTTTTTAAAATATTTTGTTAGTTTTAAATCCTATTTTATGTGCATGAATATATTGCCTGCATGTTTTTAAAATATTTTGTAAGTTTTTAAATCCTATTTTATGTGCATGAGTGTATTGCCTGCATGTATGTAAGTGCACCCAGGCAATGCCTGCAGAGGTCAGAAGAAAGCATTGGATCCCCTGAAACTGGAGTTATGGATGGTTGCTAGCCACCATGTGGGTGCTGGGGATTGAACCCAGGTCCTCTGCAAGAGCAGCCAGTGCTCTTAACTGCTGAGCCATCTCTCCAGTCCTGAGTTCCTTATTTTTAAAAGGTCACAAATGGCCAAACTGTACAGATTAAGAGTCTGCAGACTGCTGGTCCTTGGACAGGACTCCTATATTAAATTTCACCCACTCTGGGCTCAGGGACCATCAAGGAAGAGGAGGAGGAAAGATTGTAAGAGTCAGGGAGGAAGTGCACGACCATATGGAAACAGTCCTACAAGCTCCTAGGACCCTGCTCATATGATTTTATGGCAATAGTAACAGCATACACAAGTCCCATACAAACTCAGGCAGACAAAAACCCAGCATAAAACTGGGGAAATGGGGCTGGAGAGATGGCTCAGCATTTAAGAACATTGGCTGTTCTTGTAGAAGACCCAGGTTCGAATCCCAGCACCCATATGGCAGCTAACAACTGTCCGTAACTCCAGTTCCAGGGGATCTGGCAGCCTCTTCTGTCCTCAGGCATTGCACAACATGGATGCACTTACCTTCATGCAAGTAATACATGCATACACATAAAATAAAAATAATAAATTAATTATTTTTAAAAAAAGAACTGGAGAAATGAACAGCATACCCCAATCTTAGCTGAAGAAATACTGGCAACTCATTACTGCTAGGTGAGGAAGAGCTGATCTTCCTAAAACAAGGGACTCTAAATAGGGTGACTATACCGTGGACGGACTTGCACTGGGGAACGTCTGGGCCCACTGACACAGTGGGCCTTAACAAGGACGACAGAGTGTATGGGTTCCAGTTGAGGGGCTATGGAGGGTGCTGGTGGGGATGGGGGATATAAAGATGATTAAGATTTTTTGAGATATTTTGTATAAAATACACAAAAAGTCAACAAAAACAATAAAAAAGAATTATGACTGCATTAAAAGCATTTAGATTCATTATTATGATTAGCAAAAACTAAATGATAAATGTTAACTTTTATTACTACTATCTGGTTTGCAATTATTTGTTTCTATGATCTTCCTTGGTAGACAAACTATGAGAACAGGAACCCACTTATTTGCTATTTTACCTATCCCAGCGTCTGGTACACATTAAACATTAAGTGCTAATTTAGACCAGACATGGGTGGCACACACCTTTAATCCCAGCAGGCAGGAGCCAGAGGCAGACACATCTCTGTGAGACAGAGGCCACCCTGGTTTACATAGCCAGTTTCAAGCTACCTGGGGTACAGGCAAACTGTCTTGAAAAAACAATTTAAAAAAAAACTGCTAATTTAATAAACATCTCAGTTCTAGAATAATGTAGTTTTTATTTTTATTTCATGTATATGAATGTTCTGCTTTAAAGTATGTAAGTGCACCCATGTTCAAAGCCACCTCTCCAGCCCCTAGAATAATGTAGTTTTAATACTATCAATTCTTCACGTCAGAAGTTGTAGAGATGAAAAATGGAATCCTGTTCCCGCTTTTTAATTTGGTTCAAAAGTGAGAAAGGTAGGTCGGCAATTTTAGCAAACTTAGAAAATAAGAGGTAATTTCTTCTCCAACCTCCCAGGAAGAAGGACTAAGCGTTCTATGGATGGCACTGTAAAACTATCATACTGGAGATGAAAACAAATGATGGCTTTTTTTTTCAAGAGGGGAAGAAGAAACCAAAACTTCTTGTCTACCCCTGGGACGCAGTCTACCGTGACTTTAGACCATAACTTCACATTCACCTGGCGTTGGCCTTGACTAAGGAAACTTACCAGCACCCTAAGCAAAATAACAGCAAATGCAGAATCTGTGAAGTCTAGCTGCCCTACCTACCCCACAAGCCCCGGTCCATGCCAACTTCGAAGGGGTCTCCTCATCCTGGGAGATGGCAGGTATCCTCACCCAGGTGTCCCCAAACCCAGAGCAGAGTTAGGAGCTGCTAAGAACCGAGAGACCTCAGTCGCCAGCAAGAAGAAACGAAGAGAAGCTTCAGGCAGGAAGGATGAAGTGTACAAATGGCGAGTAGGATGAAGTGTATAAACGGCAAAAGTCTCAGCGGAGGGAGGGCAGCTCAGAAGGTAGTTCAAACTTCTACTTCTCGGCGCTTCCTCCCGGCAACCCCCGCCCCCGGCTCGCTGGGGCTCAGGGCGCCAGACACCGCCCACCCACCCACGGAGAGCTCGGCACGGCAGACCGGCGCGCCGGGGTCGGGACTCACTTCGCTGGGCAGGTGCTTCTCCAAAGGCCTGTCCGAGTACGGGTCACCTGAGGCGGGTCCCAGGCCACCGTATCCGAGTCCGGCCGCTAGACTAGGACAGCGATGAGCAGTGCGCTGGCCCGCGTGCGGGCTTCCGTAGCCAGATGCCCCGGATGTTGATGTGCCGCCTGTCCCGGAAGCGCAGGCCCGAGGCCCTTGGGGGCGGACGCGGCGTAGCCCGGCTCTCCGGAAGGAGACGTGGCGGCGGTTAAGTCCCCTGTCCCTGGACGCTTTGTAGTCCCGCCGCCGCCTCCTTCTCCTCCTCCTCCACCTCTTCTCTCCGGGTCGAGGAGGTTGAGACGGCGGCTGGAGAGCGTAGCGACGGAGGATGGAGGAAGGAGGCGGCGGCGTGCCTAGCCTGGTCCCTGGAGGGCCGCTGTTGCTGGTCCTGTGCGGGCTCCTGGAAGCGTCGGGCGGCGGCCGAGCGTTGCCCCAGCTCAGCGACGACATCCCTTTTCGAGTCAACTGGCCCGGCACCGAGTTCTCTCTGGTCAGTGCCCTCGCGAAGCGTAGCCATCTCCCCTCTCCACGGCACGAAGCGGCCTCGGTTTTCCTTGCTTTTTCCTCCCAGAACCTTTTCCTTAGGCGCTTACCTTTCCCAAGCCAACGTGTCTTGGTTCGTTCATTCATTCATTCAGCACACAGTGTGGATGTCCCCTCCATAGTAGTAACGTGGGAGTTCGACGGTCACTCTCTCTCCCTTTAAACCCCTTGATTCCCCACAGTCACACTCTTTGGAGGAGCGCTTACTAGAATAACTACTGGCACACTTCCTATCTTCCCTTTAGAGAGTTGCCTGCAGTTCTTCCTCCACCGGCAGCCTTGTTCCTCCTGTGTTACACACCATCCTGCAGAGGAGAGCCCATCTGAGATTATTCATGGCGTAATCTCACAGAACAGATGTTCAGCCCCTGGAAATCTTTTCCTTTCGTAGTCGTTTCTTAAGAACCCTCTGTGCAGAATCTTTTTCACACTTTGATGTATTCCAATTGATTTAAGACCCTAGAACGTGAGATATTTTTTAAAGATTTGTTATTTTATTTTAAATTAATTATGTGTATTGGGAAGGGTCTGTGCATGTTGAGTGCAAGATCCCTCAGAAACCATCAGATCCCCTGTGCAGGAGGTTGTGGACCACTCAATGTGGGTGCTGGGAACCGAACTTGGGTCCTTTGCAAGAGCTCTTAACCGCTGAGCCATCTCTCCATCCCTAAAACATGAGATTTTATGATGAATCCTTATAAAATGAAAAATATTGTCATCTCAGAGGAATGAAAATGATGTTTGGGGAAGAGCTTTGCTGAAAAATCATGTGTAGTTACCACAAGCCAATAAAAAAAGAAGGGTACTCTTGGGGACGTGGCTCAGCTGTTAAGAGCACATACTGCTCTTCCAGAGGACTCCAGGCCTCTGTGCACAGCACATAACCAAATACAGACACATATATACACATAAAAGTGATTTTTAAATTGTGCTTTTAAGAATACCTATATTCATTTATTTCAAAGTGATGTCCTGGAAAAAGCAAAGGCTTTTTTAAAAAATCTTATTCCAATTACTTACCATCATTCAAGTTGAAGAGATTTTATTTCATAGAGACATTTATTTATTATTTCATAGAGACATTAATAGTACCATAATGTCAAGACATGATGTACCTACCACGTTAGGGACTTGAGAGTATAGCTTGATAGTAAAGCACCTGGCATGCACAAGGCTCTGAGTTTGACAGCATCACAGAATTCACAAGTTACCTGCATTGCCGTTACCAGGTGGCTCTGCTTGTGACAGGTTTGCTTCTGCTGTGTTTCATCTTCATTTTTTTCTCCACCTCTCTGTTCCATTCTGACCCTATTCTTGAATTTAGGTAAATATTTCTTTGTAAAGTCAGGCTTATCTTTGTATTAGCATCATGAACTATTAATACATTTTTATTTTTATTGGTCTCCAGTGTTAAAATATACTTGCACAAAAGTTTGTTACAGTGCCAGAGAGATGAACAAACTCTTAGGTGGACATATTTGAAGACTTGGGATTTTGATGGCTTTTTGATTTTCTTTTTCAGTATGAATTATTTTGAGAAAAACCTAGATGCTTTCTGTAAATGGGCAAAAGGTCTATATCCTCATGCAAAAATAAGCTACATGAATCATTATCATTGGTTTTTTGAAATTCTTAAAATACCTCTATAGTCCTAACACTTCCCTTCTGTGCTTTATTTGATTTAAACAACTGCTCTCCTAGTGTGGCATTGCCTATTTTTTTAAGGAGCCAGTTGGTTGAACACTTATAAGTAACTAAGCAGCTGTTTGAACTAGGGTAAGGTCCTTTGTCTACCAGAAACTGACGGACACTGGATCAAAATATCTGAATTTTTTTTCTTTTGTAAAATAAAGTCTTACTACCATAGCTCAAGCTGACTTCAGATTCATTTTGTAATACAGGCATACATCACCACACCTGACCCTTGCCCAGTACTACCAAAATGGATGTAAGATAAAAATGGTTAAAATTACACCTTGTGATCCCAGTAAGTGACTCACAGTTCCAACAAAGTTTTCACAATTGCATCCATTTTTTTGAAAAGTAGACTTCACAAACTGATGAAATAAAAATCTTAGTGTCAAGAATTGTCCTACAAGGTGATGCTAAGAAGCCCAGAGACACGCTCCTCTAGTGTATCTTACTTTCTTGCCCCTTCTCTCCTAACTCTTGTGCTTAAAAATATCTTTTAATACACTACAGAAATAATAATCATAATTGTCTTCCAGGCAAGATGTGGTGGCACACTCCTGTAATCCCAGCACTTGGGAGGTGGAGACAGGAGGATCAGAAGTTCAAGTTCAAGGCTAGCTTTGTCTGCCTAGCAAATTCAAAGCCAGCTTGGGTTGCATGAGAATCTGTCTCTAAAAAGTAAATAAATTTGACCTTGGCAACCCTTATTTTTAAATACCTTTGATTCCCTTATCACTTATACTGGTCTTTTAAACAGGGATCCTTGACCATAAAACAGAAATATACATAATAATATAAAAATTGTTGGGGCTGGAGAGTTAGCTCAGCAGTTAAGAACACTGGCTGTTCTTGCAGAAGACCCAGGTTTGAATCCCAGCATCCATATGGCAGCTAACAACTGTCCGTAACTCCAGTTCCAGGGGATCCAACAGCTTCTGTCCTCCTCGGGCATTGCACGACACGGGTGCACTTACCTACATACAGGTAATACACTCATGCATATAAAATAAAATAATAAATAATAAAATAGTTTTAGAAGTATATGTTAATAAAAACTGACTCAAATATGTTAAAACAGTAATAAGCACACATCTATGGATTTAAGTTTTTTGGTTTACTTTTATATGTATGAGTGTTTTGCCTACATATATGTAAGTGCACCTGTGTCATCCAATGCCCTCAGAGACCAGAAGGCGGCACAGGATCCCATAGGATCCTCTGGAACTGGAGTTACAAATGGTTCTCTGAGGTCTGCTACATCCAGCTATTTTAACACTGGACAAAATATTTAAACTCTGACCTCAGAGTCCTCATTTTTCTATAGAAATAAGGAAAATATCAGATTTGAAGATTGAATGAATTAGTAAATATAAAGCACTTAAAAGAAGACAATTGCTTCTGCATATTCATGTCTGCAGGTCTGTGTCTGTGGCTTCAACCAACCTAGAGTCAAAAATAATCAGGGGAAGCCAAATGTGGTAGTGAATGAATCCCCGTGATCTCGGCTGAGGCTAGAAGTTACTAGGAGTTCAAAGCCAGCCTGACCTTCATATGGGTTCATTCAAGACCAACCTGAGATATCTTAACAAAACTTTGACTCTAAAAAAAATTTTTTAAAAATTAGGGACCGAAGAGATGGCTCAGGGTTAGGAATACCTACTGCTCTTGCAGAGGGGCCCAGGTTCAGTTCCCAGCACCCATATGGCAGCTGACAACCATTTGTAACTCCAGTTCCAGAGGGTCCTATGGGATCCTGTGCCACCTCCTGGCCTCTGAGGGCATTGGACGACACAGGTGCACTGCACTTACATGCAGGCAAAACACTCGTACACATAAAATAAAAATAAATCAAAAAATTTAAATCAGAGGAAAATAATTGGGTCTAAACTGATCATATGCAACTTTTAAGGGAGGCTGCTGCATAGCTTATATGCAAATCTATGCCGTTTTATATAAGGGACTTGAACATTTTCAGATTGGAAGGAGGTGGGAGTCTAGAATCAGTCCCCCAGGCTACATAGGGATGACAGGACCATTTAGTGTTAATGCTTACTGCTTTTGTGTTTTATTGTCTTGGGAAAACATTGCCCTAATTTGCATTCATATTTAAGATTGCATTGGTTCCAAGTAGTCTAGGTTTTATTATAGTAAGGTTTTATTGTTAAATTTAAAAAGAACAGACATATTGTTCTTCCCTTGCTAGCAATAATCAAATAGTGCAATGGTTTTACAGTATTATAAGAAGAGAAAATTGAATTATCATAAAATACATATCAGAAGCAGACATTTCTTTTTAGTAAGATACCAGCAGTTATATTAATTGAAGTGTTTGCTTGAAATATGTTGGTTCAAGACTGGGCGTGATGGTGCACGCCTTCGATCCCAGCACTTGAGGGACAGAGACGGGCAGACCAATCTCTGTGAGTTCAATGCCAGCCTAGTCTACATATCCGTTCCAGGCCAGCTGGAGCTACAGGGAGACCCTGTCACAAAAAGACCAAAAAAAATAATAAAAGAAGGAGGAAATATGTTGGTTCGTATGAGCAATGTGAAGTTGTGTTTTATAGTATAGAAAACTTTTGGGTTTTTTGGGGGTTTTTTGTTTTGTTTTTTTTGGTCTTTTTGAGATAGGGTCCCCCTGTAGCCCCAGCTGTCCTGGAACTCACTGTGTAGACCAGGCTGGCCTTGAACTCACAGAGATCCACCTGCCTCTGCCTCTCGAGTCCTGGGATTAAAAGCTTGTGCCACCACACCCAGCCTACTATAGAAAACTTTTAAGGGTAGTTTTATAGACATGTGACAGGAATTAACAGACTATAGCTATTGTGCTAACTGGCTACCTATTTTTACAAAATTTTATTAATAGCCATGCCTATTGTTTGCATCTTATCTTTGTACTTTGTTGCTAAAGGGACAGAGTTACAAAGTGTAGTGTCCATGAAGCCTATATTTACTGTCTGACTCTTTACAGAGAAGTTTGCTGATTCCACACACACACACGCGCACACACACACACACACACACACACACACCTCACTCACTCTCAGAAAAGGCAGGTCAGCTGGGCATGGTGATGCACGCCTTTAATCCTAGCACTCTGGAAATAGATCTCTGTGAGATCAAGACCAGCTTGGTCTAGATAGCCAATTCCAGGCCAGCTGGGGTTACAAGGAGACCCTGTCTCAAAAGAAAAAAAAAGAAAAGAAAAAAAATGTTAAAGAAAAAGGTTAAGTCAGCACAGAGATCCATGATAATTATTCTTTTTAAAGGGATTTATTTATAGATAAATGTATACATTCCCCCAAATAAGAAAAATATGCCACACTCAAGTGTATCATGCAACAGAATTGAGACTAGGCTTGTAAATATGAATTGTCAGGCACAGGTGGTAATTGCTGACAGAAGTTGTAAGTATTCAGTGACAAAAGTTTCAGTGCCTCTTAATATTTTTTGACTAACATTTTCCCTTCAGCCTCTTGCATTACTACTTTTCCTTTATATTCCAAACTGTATTTGTTCTATTTTATTATGACACCAGGATAAACTTTGTTATCTTCATTTTATCATCTTAAGATGTGTACATTATTTTGCCTGCCTCTGAAAATATGCCTTAAAACTCTTCTGTCGAAATGATAAATCATTTGCAGAACGTTTACTCTACCTAGGACTGAAATTATTCAATGTAATGCAGTTTAACTGGAGAAAGTAAAGTATATTTTTTGTCCTATTTCTAGCCCACAACTGGAGTTTTGTATAAAGAAGATAATTATGTCATTATGACAACTGCACATAAAGAAAAATACAAATGCATACTGCCTCTTGTGACAAGTGGGGATGAGGTATGTTTTAATACATATATTGATAATCCCTCACTGCAGATAATGTGCATACAGTACTGCAACCACATACTTTAAAGTAACAAGATTCTTAATAACCTTGTTGTAGCGTAAAAATATTAATCACTTATTCTTTGATTTTTAGAATTCATATTGAAAAATTAGTAATCAGCTAGGTATGGTGGCTCATACCTATAATCTTAGTACTCAGGAGACTGAGACAGGGTGATTGTCATGAGTTTAAAGCCATCCTGGGCTGTGGTGTGAGACCTTGTCTCAAAAAAAGGGAAAGAAAAAATTAGCAAATAGTTATTAATGTTTTGAATAAAAATCTAACTCCACACTTATTTTCCTTGATAGAAATGATGGCTTTAAAACACAATATAATTTTCAATGTGTACATGATATTTTCATTAAGAATTTATTATAAATAGCTCTGGGTACCTTATGCTTTCTCACTGCCTTAGCTCATTCCCTTTTCTTTCTCCTGAAATGCCCTAACTGCCTCTTATCCATCCTTCAAGGCAGTGACTTCTTTCAAGATGAAACAGGAGAGGCAGCATGGTAAAATGGAAAGGACACCAGTCTAGGAGCCAGGAGGCTGAGGTATAGGCTATAGTTAGCTATGGATCCCTGAACACATTCAAAACTGAACTCCTCCACTCAATAAATTTATTAAGCCGATTACATCATATTTTCATGTTCTGTAAAATAGAAATATTAAACTCAGTGCTGTTCTTAAGTTTTGTTCCTATTTGAAATTGGTCCAAGACAGCTGTTTAATTTTGTCTTAAATTTCCTTAAGACACAAATATACCCACATAACCATATACATAGTATATAACATTCAAGTCTGAAGTATAAAAATATGTAGAAAACTGAAAAATATCTTTCCAGTATATCTACCTTGTAAGATTTTTATAGCTAGAATTTTTTTTAGCTACAGACTTTTTAAAATACTGAAATAGATTTATAAGGATTGTTCATAAAAATTACACTTAAAAACCTTTAAAAAAAAAAAAGGATGAGGGGCTAGAGAAATGGCTCAGTGGTAAAGAGAGTGTACTGCTCTTGAGAGTACCAGAGTTCATTCCTAGCACCCATGTCAGGTGTCTCACAGTCTCCTGTAACTCCAGCTCCAAAGGATCTGACGTCTTCTGCTGCCCTCCACACGGACCTGCACACTCGGTTGCACATTCCCACACACAGCATACATAGCCCCCCCCCATACAAAATTAAAAATAAAAATAAATCTTAAAAAGAATGAGTGCTATGGAAGGTTATTCTATGACTTCATATTTTATACTTCAGTTCATTTGAAAGAAGTGCTGTACCATAGAGTCTTGTTAAAGGTCTTGACTTTTTTCCTCTTTTATTTCTAAGCATTTGTGATTTAAACCAGTAAATTAGTACCCAAACAGCAGAGTTGGGTTAAGTTCTAGGAAAATTGTACTTATTAAATTCCAGTTCTTTCTTAGGAAGAAGAAAAGGATTACAAAGGCCCTAATCCACGAGAGCTTTTGGAACCACTATTCAAACAAAGCAGTTGTTCCTACAGAGTATGTATTTTATGTTCATTTGACAACTAGAAAATAAGTGTCTCGCAGCCAATAGGCCCTTGAAATGGCGTCTACGTTTCTTTTTGCTTTACTTATCACATTTTAAGTTAGGTGCAAGTCTTAAGTTATTGCTTAATAGCATTTTGTTCTTTTTTAAAATACATTTTAATTAAGCCGAGTGTGATGGCACTTGACTTCAGTCATCTCTGTGAGCTCAAAGCCAGCCTGGTCTACATAGCAAGTTTCAGGCCAGCTCAGCAGCTCAGACTGCAGGGAAACTCTGTCTCAAAAAGACCAAAATAAAGCCAAAATATATATATATATATATATATTTTTTATTTTATATACAAGTATGTGAGTGCACCTGTGTCATGCAGTGCCCACAGAAGTCAGAAGAAGGTATCGGATCTCTGGAACTGGAGTTACAGGTGGTTGTTAGCCACCGTGTGGGTGCTGGAAATTGAACTTAGGTCCTCTACAAGAGCAGCCAGTGCTCTTAACCACTGAGCCATCTCTCCAGCCCCATATTTTGTTCTTTTTAAATTCTTATATGTGCAGCAGACAGTATACCAGTACCAAGACATCAGTTACTAAACCAGCTTGAATGTTTTTTCATTTCAAAAGAAAGCTTCCTTACATGTTAGAATTTTAATAAAGATGCTAATTGCTTCTTTTAAGCCATGTAGAAAAATAGTCCTAAGCCAGATATTTATTACAGACCCAAATATATTGTAGCTCTCTTTTCATCACATAATCTCATGTATAGCTAATTAATAGAAACAGTGAATAGACTTCAGAAGTTTTGCCTTTTTCTGAGGCATAATTAAAAATGTCATTTCATAAAAACATGTTCTAAATTTGGGAAGCAATGTCCTCAGCTACTTAAAATATCAAAAAGTCATTTAGTAGAGTTACATGACTTTTGTATATTTTAAATACATCCATCATCCTTAGATCGAGTCTTACTGGACTTATGAAGTGTGTCATGGAAAACATGTTCGACAGTACCATGAAGAAAAAGAGACTGGCCAGGTATGTTTTTCTTGAAAATGTAAAGTGTAGAACATTATAAAATTAGGAGTTTCATAACTGATGTTGACAGTTTTAAAGTTGTAGCCATAGAAATATATTTGCAAAATACTTACTGTATTTTTTTTTAATGTAGAAAATAAATATTCATGAATACTACCTTGGGAATATGTTGGCTAAGAATCTTCTATCCGAAAAAGGTTTGTCTCTATAAATGATTTGATAGCACTGCTGGAATTTGGTTTAGCATTTATGTTCAGATTGAAATCTAAGTCTAGGCATGGTGGTGGATGACTAATCCCAGTACTTGGAAGGTTGAGGGAGAAGGATCAGGAATTCAAGGCCATCCTCAAACATAGCATGTTCAAGGCTAACATGAGACTCTGACTCAAAAAAAAGAGAAAAAAGAATTTTTCTTGGGGACCAGTGATTTTTCTTTAACTTTTTTAAATTACATTTTAATCTATTTGTGTGTGTGTGTGTGTGTGTGTGTGTGTGTGTGTGTGTGTGTGTGTGTGTGTGTGTGTGTGTGTGTGTGTGTGTGTGTTTACACATGCCATAGTGAGCTTGTTGAGGTCAGAGAAAACTTGCAGGAGTTCATTATCTCCTTCCACCATGTGGATCCCATGGATTAAACTCAGGCTTGGCAGCAGGTACCTTCACCCACTGAGCCATCTCACTATCCTTGGTTTTTCTTTTTTAAGACAGGGTCTTATGAAACCCTGGCTTGCCTGGAACTCAATATATAGACGACTACAGCAATTCTCCCATCTCTGTCTCCCAAGTGGTAGGGTCACAGGTGTGCACCACCATACCTGGCGAAAAAAAAACACTCTTTGAAATCTTTATTTCCATTATTTCCTGCTTTAACAAACATGCTTTGTTTCTATCTATTAATAAAGCTTTTAAAAATCTGGTAGGAAATGCATGACAAGGTTACATTTGTATAGTGTTAGTCTTTTGCTTAGTTTAAGCTGTTTTTACATATGGCAATAGACATATCCCTTAAATGGCAGAATATCTGTGTTAATCTAAGATTCATCTTATCACTGAGATACTTCAAAGAAATTTTTTGTGGCAACTTTTTCTTCATGAACTAGAGTATTTCCTAGGTAATGATGTAAAGATTAAATGTGACTGCCCTTTCATATGAAACCATTTCAAGGAAACTAAAAGTAGTAGAATGGGTCTGGGAAGACAGTGTTTAAATACCAGCATATGTGAAGCCCTGGGTTCAATATTCAGCAATACCCACCCCAAAAAAGTAGTAAGACAAAAATCATATGCGTGGTAGATCTTTTTGAAACAGAAATTTAAGGTTACAAAGCTGGGTGAAAACTTAAGTCATTTGTGCTTTATATATGTGATAGATCATTCTTTATGTTTACCTTTTTCTTATATTATTCCACAGAACGAGAAGCAGAAGAGAAAGAAAAATCAAATGAAGTAAGTGACAAGTATTACTTTTTCACACTTAACATTCATTGTTAGTCAGTTATGAGTTTATACAACTTTAGTGACAAAATATAACCTTGTGTTCTTTATCAAAGGATTGGGTCTAATAAAATTTACAGATTTAGCCGGGCGTGGTGGCGCACACCTATAGTCCCAGCACTTGGGAGGTAGAGGCAGGCGGATCTCTGTGAGTTCAAGACTAGCTTGGTCTACATAGGGAATGCAGGACAGCTGGGGCTACAGGGAAACCCTGTCTCAAAAAGAAAAAAAAAAAAAAAATTTACAGATTTATAGTGTGCTTGGTTTTACTCTCAAAAGTTACATTGTGATCCTTCTATTTACTTTTGTAAATATCAGATCTATCAGCTGAGCCTGCTAAAGCGTGCCTGTAACCCCAGCTTCTTGGGAAGCTGGAGGTAGAAGGATCACTAGGTTCAAGGACTGCATGGGTTCCTGTCATGCTAGTCTGACAACTTAGTGAGACTTTATTGCAAAGTCTGAAAAGGGGGTTGAGGAGTGGAAGAAGATGACTGAGCAGGTAAAGTTTCCTGCTGCCAAGCCTGACTACTGGGACCCACATAGTGCAAGGAGAGAACCAACTCCTGCAAATTGTCCTCTGACTTACACACACATACTCTGTGATGCATGTGTGCACATATGCACAGACATAACAAATACATATATTGTAGTAAAAAAAAAAAAAATTTAAGAAAGTCTGAAGCTATGTAATGCAGTGGTAGAGCACATGCCTAGCATGGCAACACTATTTAAAAAAAAAAACTACTACCCACTACTAAAAAAAAAAAAAAAATCCATTAATTATGTGTCTATGATAGACACATGAAAAAAAGATGCTATGATACCAGTGTCTCACTCCAGTGCATGGCAGTCGTTCTTTCTGTTTAGCATTGGAAACAATAAGCATTTTTTATTGCCTGTTCTTCTTGAATAAAACAGATAAGTATATTTCTAAGTATAAGCTACCTGACTATAAGTGTCTTAAAAATAGAGACTTAATACAGGGAGACCCTGTCCTCCCCCCAGAGAGAGAGAGAGAGAGAGAGAGAGAGAGAGAGAGAGAGACTTAAAAGCCTGGGTGTGGTGGCACATACCTTTTAATCCCAGTACTCAGGAGGCAGAGGCAGGTGGATCTCTGAGTTCAAGGCCAGCTGGGGCAACAGGGAGACCGTGTCTCAAAAGACCAAAAAAAATAGAGATTTAAGAGTAGAGACTGACTTTTGTCTGTACCCATAGTATTAAAGAGTACCACACATATTCGTGATATAGGTACTTCATAAAGACTTATTAACTAATGGCTAAAAGTAGGATTGTTTAAAAAGAATCATGTTTTCACAAACAAAAACAAATTTAATAAAAGTCATAAAACTTGTACGTTCAAAGCTTGGAATCTAGAATTTTCTAATTTCCAATAATAGTGTAGAAATAGCATGCAAGGAAGTCT